GATCTTTGACTGTTATGAAAAGTTAATGATGCATGATTAATTGATTTAGAATGATTAAAATATTTTTCTCCAGTATATGTGATGTGGAGTAAGTTTAGGTATAATGTAATTTAGCCATGATTTAATGAAATGAATGAGGAAAAAGAGATGAATGAAATTTGATGTGAATACTTGAGAAAATATGAGTAAAAGAAAAGGAATAACAATAGAAAAAAAAAGGAATAACTAATACGGGTGTTGTAAAATACCGATTAATGTGATTATAATATATATGTTGTAGTATACTGATTAGTGTGATTACAACACACATGTATTAGGACAATATTGATTAGTGTAAACAATATGATTTTAGTGTGCTATTGTTGAGTTTTTATATGAATAATTCAGAGATACACTAAAAATATAGAGTCAAGAGGTAATTTAGAAAATTTGTGGAAAATGAGAATAATGAATGCTAATAACTGATGTACAGACAATTGATAGTAAAAGCATTCATAGGTCTCGTTAATAGTATGATGTTGTGCACTATGAATATTTGATCTCCTGAGGATCGATGTACCTAATGATACTATCTAAATTGTAGATACCGCTAGAAGTAAATGCACCTTGTCTAGTTGTTATTTTTTTTGATGAATTGATTGATTGTCTAGTTTGCATTTTTTTTACTTAATTTTTTCTTGCTACATGATTTTATGAAATGTGCAGCAATCACCCTTTTTGTTTTGTTTTTTGTGACTTTATAATATAAATTCATGAAAATAGATAAATGAGAGCCTGAACTGAGTTATGAGAGAAGATTGAAGAAGACATTAGGTGAATGAAAGCTTCTTGTCCTTGTGAATAATTGCATGAAATTTAGGTCTTTAATTAGGTATCTTTTATTTCTTTTCTAGTTTTGCTAGAGAAAGGATAAATTTGGGTTGTAATATTATTTTTTCATAATTTTTAAATAAAATTTCTTGATGAATCAATTTAGTGATTGTAATTATTAGCGTGAATATAAACTTATTTAGTGGTAGATAATATTGAAAATAAGATGGTTGAGGGTTGTCTAGAAAACCCAGAAATACAAATAAAATTTCAAATATAAAGAATAATTTCAGGAATAATATTCTTAAACGAAATGAACTAAAATGCAAAGCTTATTTCAACAATTTTTTTGAATTAGAGTTCTTGAAATATTTTTCTTTGAGTTGCTAGGTAAATGCTTTCAAAATAGAAGATTAAAGTTTACGTTGAAGTTAAAATTAAATTATACATCTTGAATTTTAAAGAAGTTAAATAAAAAAATTATATAAAAAGGTGAGAAGCTTAAATTAATTTTAAATTTTAATTTATTTTACCTTCATTTTTATAAGTATTTAAATTTATTCAAACTTAAGACTAAACTTAATTTGGCTAATAAATAACGTGAAACTAAAAATCCACCAAAAGCATGTAATTAGCAGTCACATAGCGCCAATTGATCTCTATACCTTGGGAGCTTCTGAAAATCAAACCTTGAACTTTCAATACGTTGAATCAAAATTGTATGATAGAAAAATAGCAGTTTCATGACATTCAAATTCGAAGAAGTGCCATGCATTCAAATAATTATACACATAAATTATTTTAAATAACTAACGGCTTATTACTTTTGGAAATAACTTTAATAAACAAATAATTATTTATTTTTTAAAATTAATTGTTTCCAAACATGTACTTAATAATCCGTTACGGTAAGGAGTTACTCGGCAATATTGCAATACCAACCCTTACACTACCTTTTTTTTTGCCACAAAATAGCAATAATAATAATAATCAAGAGAAAGAAAGGTATATATATTTTTTACTTTTAATAAAAAATACATATTTAATTCTTTAATTTTAAAGCTTATGTTCTCATCTTTTTAAAATATTTCTAGACTAGCCCACTGTAAAAGTTTATTTTCCTCGTTCTAATTATGTATATCGTTAGATAACCTAAGACAAGTGCCTTAAGCCTCACATTATCAATCAATTGAACTATTTAATATTTTAATTAATAACTATTAATAAAATTATAAAAATATTAATTTTGATAGCTATTTAACAAGAATATCACTTAAAGAATAAAAAAGTGTATATTTTTAAAAAAAATAAAAATACACTCACAAACAAATTTTTTAATTTATCATAACATGATTTGAAATTAAATATATATATATTATCTAATGATTCTTCAAGCAATCCTTAAAGCGCTGATTAGCTGGATTTATGATTTATGTAATTGTCATTATTTTATTAGTTTTTCTCCTATTTGGAATCAAATGGTAAATTGTTAGTTACAAGTTTAATTTAATGCTATAAATATTTTTACAATTTTAATCACTAAATTTTAATATATTTTTTATTTTTTTAAAATAGATCTCTTATTTTCTTGTTTTTTTTTTCTCCTTCTTGTTTCTGTAGAATAATAGTTTAGTAGCCATAAAATATATAAGTATTTCATTTTGGGGTAAATAAGCCTAAATTTAATAATAAAGAAATAATTTTTTATATTTTTATATATAATTATATATATGATAAAATTATTTTAAACAATAATATTATCAAAATAATAAAAATCAATAAATTAAATACTTTTAAAATATAATTTATTTTAAAATAATACTTTTGTGGTATAGTATAAAAATATTTTTAATTTAGATGTCAATAGTATATATATATATTTATATATATAAAAGTATAAATTTAATAGACAAGACTTTTAAAAGTAAACTCTAAATTAAAAAAATTAAAATAATTTTTATAAATATAAAAATAAGTATTCATGGAAGATTTAAAAATTTATATAAGATAAAAAAAAAAGTTAAATCACAACTTTACTCTCTAAAATTTTAAAAAATATTAGAAAAAACATATGTAAAAAGTTAAATTATTACAATAAAAAATAATGTAATTTAAAAATTATTTTTAGTTAATTTTAATTTTAAGATGTATTTATAATAAATGTTAAATAAAAGTAGTTCTACTTAATACTTTATTTTTTAAATAGTAGACTCTCATTTATAATATAAAAATTAATGATCAATATTTATTGTAATTGTTACTACTGTAAAAAAAATTAAAATTAAAATCACTTAAATCTTATTTTAGATTAATAATATTATGACGTAAAATTATTTAAGGGGTTATTGGGAAAGGGAAGTTTTAGAGGAAGGAGAGGATATAAATTTATATTTTAAATAAATATATTTAAATTTAATATTTTTAAAAATAAAAAATATAAATTAATATATTAATAAAAATTTAATAATATATTTATCATCGTAGATAATATATAATTATTTTAATTTAAAATAAAAAAATATGTTATCCCTTTCTTTTCCTTTCAAAATTTTCCTCCTAAACATACTTTAAGTAAAATGCTAAAATTACTTGATTATAAAACATTGATAAATAATTTTAAAACTTAACGAACTAAAAATAATAATATAAAATTTTATAATATACATTACACATTTTTTTTTTTTATATTTTTGGTTAAAGCTGTAATATTCCTTAACTTGGCCCTGGACGGTAAAAGGCTTATATGAATCGATTTGTTTTCCAATTCATTCTAACACTTTTTTAATTAAATTTATTCATTATTATTATTATGAGAAAAAAAAAAGAGTAATAAGAAAAAAAAGTGAAACGTTCAAATATTAATTTAGTTCAATTAATATGACTTATATAAAAGAAAAATGTATTTTCAACTTTGATAAAGATGTACATCCAATCAAAGAAAAAAGCATTTATTACCTTTTTAGAGAAAAGAATGTATAATCATAGTTCGCAGTACATATACTAACATGCACATCTTTGTTGGCTTTGTTGATACTTATTGAAACAAATAAGATTCTCCTACAAAGAGAGACACATGGGCAACGCTACTAAACTATGAACTCCACCACTACAATTGTTGTTATTTACTTATTTTCATGGTTCTTACTTTTTATTACTTACCTTTCCCTCTCTTTTTGTATATTTTCTTATAATTTCACTTGTCTTCATGCTCATTGTAGTTCTCACATTAAGCTCTTTTATTTTCAACATCTTTAGACCCTACATTGTTAAAAATAGTTAAGCTCTCTCAATCTTGTACTTGCTCTCTTAACCATTGTTTGTTTGTAGTTTCTTCAACAAAAATAACACCATCTAAATCTAAAAGTAAACACACACTATAGTACTAATACTCTCATAAATCATTATAGGATAGAGAGAAGATTAATCTTAAAATAATGACACTTAACAAAGAAACTAAACATGTTACTTACATTTATGTTTTAGAGGAAGATGATGATGTTGAAATTATTGGTGGGATTGATCAAAGAAAACATATTTCACTTGGGTCAAATAAAGTTACATTTATGTTCATATTATAAATGAAATTTAGTAGTTTCCAATTTCAAAACTCCTACATATAGACTACAATAATATTTTTATAAGGATTAAAAGTGAATTTCAATTATTTTGTAGGCACCTGAAACAAATTTAACATTTTAAATAGTATCAACACATGAAACTTTGTTAGTCATGTCAGTGATTAATAGAGACAAAATAATAATAAAGAATAATTTTGGCTATTTTACATAATTAGGGACTAAAACAATATTTTTTGTAAGGACTAAAAGTGAATTTTAATGATTTTACATGGATTAAAAGTATCTTTAATTTTTTTTATCTCTATTATTTTCACTTTATACGCTTAAAAACTAAGATATTCAATAAATATTATTCTTTTTCGGGTTATTTTTTTCTTTCTTTTGACTTAAAAAATAATTATGTAATAATTTATAAATTCAAGAAAATGATGTAAGTGAGCCTCGTATATTATCATTCATCTTTGAATGAAGCAAATATAGATGTAACATTTTAACGTGTTAAGATTAAATAGTTTGTTTGTCAGCATTAGTCAACCTTTGCTTCAATTTGAAACATTAATCACGTATGTGTCTTGGGATTACTCTAATGTAATTGTGGAAGACAAGAATATAATGAAATTGTTTAACTTAAATTCATCATCTTGAACATAACCTTGTAGATTGTACTCACAACGATAGTAAACTAGAAGGTAGAAACCAAGACATGAGAAGACAAAAATAAAAATTAAAAAAGTTCTAAAGAACAAATAGGTTTTGTGTCTGCAGATATCATCACAGTTGTCATGCAGGCATGGAGAGTCTGAATCACAACAATATATTTAAAGTTCAGAGCTTATTTCAACAATTTCAGGGACGAATCAAAGTTGTTTCAATATCTTCCTTTAAGTTGCAAGGTAAATGCTTTCAAGGACAGAAGGGTTTCCTTCAACTTATTCTTGACCTCTTCATCAATCAAGTCACCATCATTGTTAAACTTTGGTGGTGGCTGGAATGCATTGAGGAAGAACTCAGGTTTATTGATGAAATGAAGATCAAGAAAAATTCCAATTTGGCGGAGATGATATTGTGATCTTCCTCCACCAAACCCTCCTCCAGCACTCACTATAGCAGCAGCTTTACCTGCCCAAACATTTGGTGCCCTTGATGCCCAGTCAATTGCATTCTTCAGTGGACCTAAAATAATAAAAGGAGAGAATATTAGCAAATATAAGCTCAAGTATTTTATGATGAACTAATCTCTACCAAGTTTTGACACGTACTAAAATCTTGCTAAATTTACCAAATCAAATATATAATAACTGCTGCATCCATCTAAAACTCCCTAAAACGAATGTTGTAAGCTAGCACTTGGTATTATGCACAAACCACCAATTAATCATTTATACTTTCTGTAGTTTCTTAAAATAGTGATTGATATTTTCAATGTTTCATCAAAGTGGTATGATAGGCAAATTATAGGTCCATGACCATGACTAAGCACACGTTAGAGCAGTTACACACACAAGCATCCAACTTCCAGAAATTTTTCGGATGTTCTTAAGTTACACATTTAAACCAAGCATACTAATTAGAATACATTTATAGATCAAACAGAGAATATGCGCAAAAGTTGTTTTCTCAGACCATTTAAACAAACTAAACTTGTCTCTACTTCCCTTGTGCTGCCAACATAAGAGAAAACTCCAAATCCCAGAAAAAAATAGAAACTCAATTTCTTGCTGCTGTTCATGCTATAATATATGGGGCGCGGTGGTATAAATTGAAGGAACAAACTTGAAGAAATTAAGACACAGTTTTTGAAACCAGTGTAACTAATAAGAATTTATAGATAATTAGTTTTTTATAAAAATAATAAAATTTACAGTATTAATGTGATTAAATGTTATAATTCTTAATAAAATATATTATTTATTAATTTTTATTATCTACTATTTTGTAGAAATTTAAGAAAATCATAGTTAACTAGCCTAAGTTGTGCTCGAAGTTTCTTTTGTTAGAAAGTGTTATTTTTATTTTTAGGTTAAGATTAAACATCTATAAATAATAAATTTTATTAAGAAAAAGTATATTTATCACATCAAAATATAAAAAAAAATTATTAAAAATTTATTTTAATATATTACAATTAATTCTATAGATAAAAGTTAAGAAAGTGTTTTTATTATTATAAAAAAAATCATGATAGATGAGTGGAGAGGTACCTGTGACAGAATAATTATACTCAGGGGAAGCAAATAGAATGCTATCAGCTTGAAGAATCTTCTGGCGAAAGGCCTCAACTTCGGGAGGGTAAGTGCCATTTTTCTCAAGATCAGTGTTGACGAAAGGCAAAGGCGAAATATCAACGTACTCAATTTGGATGCCTTCAACGCTTCCTTTGCTTATTTCAATAGCTGCCATCAAAGTCAACCCAAATTTTTTGAAAAAAGAATAATAGTAAAGAAAATAGTAGATAGATAGAGTGAGAGTGTGTTATTACGAACCAGAACGGATAAGGCCTGTGTTGTAAGAGGCCTTTCGAAGAGAGCCAGAAAGTGCTGCAACCTTAATAACTGGCGAGGATGCTCCCACAACAGCTGCTGCCATGTTTTCTTGGTATTGTTGGATGATGTCTGGGAGAAGGGAAGAGGGTGACTTGCTTTATATAACAAACAAACGAGAAAAAGGAAAGGAAGGAAGTGGATCAAATACTCAAACGTTATGATGTGGATTCGCTGCCGACAGATTCACAGTACCAAATTGAATTCAACTTTGGAGGATTTTATTTATTGTCTCCGAGTGATGCTGTGTGTTGCGTAGGGGTGACATTTTACATCTTCCATAGGCCCCAATGTTTTGGATTCACTCGCCACTCACCCTGTCCCCTGTCTTCTTTTTTAACTCCTAAGACTCGATTTTTAATTTTTAAAAGATAAAAAATATTTATTTATTAATATAAAAATATTTTTATTTTTTGTAATTTTTTAACTGACTTGTTAATTTATTGGTTATCAATTTTTTTTTTATATTTTTTAGTTTAACTCGTTTTCTAAATAAAGCGAGACTGGTTAACTTCTTTTTTTTTTGCATAGCACGTTGGTTCATTTTGTTTTTATTTTAATTATTAAATTTATAATTTTGATAACTTTTAAGTTTTAAGGTGGTATAGTTAAAAATACTAAATTTCATTAATAAAGTAATATTTTTATAATAAATATATTTTTTAATAAAAATTTTCACTTTTAATTATGTATTTTTAAAATTAATAATATTTTTTTAATAAAAATAATTTATAATTTTTATTGTAACAAAATAATTAAAAGCATTATATCATTGACATTCAATTTTGTAGAAGAGAAAAAGAAGGAAGTCAAGAGTTATTGTTAACGATTTATTTAGAACAAAAAATAACAAATCAAACGTGGGATACTTAGATTTATGGGATGATATGGGCATAAGTTTATATAGCTTATCACCAAAATTTGTTAATTCATCATTTCTAAGACCTCTATAAAATTACATTGAGATCACGAGACAACATCTTTTTGAAAACCCCTTCATGGAAAAAGTAATTTTTAAGATTTTTAATTCATAACCATCATTCTTTATCACATTGACAATCAAATACACAATGATAATGAAAGAATACCAGACAGATACAAGATAGGTTCATTTATTCAAAATAATTAAAGCACTTATATAGGCAAATACACAACTAAAGAAATACCACCCAAAATAGGATAAACTATAGCCATGATTCAAAAGTTCCTAATAACTAGAAAAAGGACTGCTAAGACCTAGTAAAATAACAATTGAAAGACAAAAAAACAAAATACACCAATAAACCCTCCCTTAAATTGATGTTTGCCATAATTCAGTTTAATGGCTTGACTGACTTCAGCATGCAAACTCCAAGTGACATTCTGTGCTTCATGAATAACTCTCTTTTGAGTGCCTTGGTGAAGATATCAACAACTTGATATTCACTCTTAAAATAGATCAGATTAATTACTTTATTATTACTTAATTCTCTTAAGAAGTCAAATTTCACATCAATGTGCTTGCTTCTTTCGTGTAGCACTGGATTCTTTGACAGTTTGATTGCTGAGTTGTTATCATAGAAAATTTGAGTAGTCCCGAGTTGCTTGAATTTCAGTGCATATGCAGTTGTTGCAACAAATTCTACCTTTGTGCTTGATAAAGTAACAATAGGTTGCCTTTTAGAGAACCAAGAAACAACACTTGAGCCAAGCATAAAAACACACCCGGAAGTGCTACTATCATCTTGATCTCCTACATAATCGTTGTCAGTGAATCTCAACAGATTTGACTTCTTATCTTTCTTGTAAAATAGTCCAAAATCTCTAGTTCCTTGCAAGTAGAAAAAGATCCTTTTGGCAGCAAACAGATGCATTTATGTGGGATGCTCCATGTACCTGTTGATCAGGCTTACAGAATACATTATATTAGCCTTGTAGCAGTTAGATACATCAAATTGCCCACAATTTTTTTCATAAAGTGTGTTATTAACCTTCTTGCCTTTAGGATCTTTATGTAACTTCAAACCACATTCAACTAGAATGTTTACAGAATTGTAATCCTTCATCTGAAATCTATCTAAAATTTCTCCTACATATTTCTTTTGAGAAAGAAAAATCCCATCATCTGGTTGCATTATTTCTATACCAAGGAAGTAGTGCATCATGCTAAGATCAGTCATTTCAAATTCATCCATCATAGATTTCTTAAAGTCATCAAACATGGCAAGATAATTTCTTGTAAATATAAGATCATCAACAACCAAACAAATTATAACCAATTATCCTTTTTTTCCAAATTTAATAAGCAATGTGTGCTCATAAGGACACTTTGAAAAACCAATCTTTAAGAAATAAGATTCAATACGACTATACTAAGCCTATGGGGTTTGTTTTAGCCCATAAAAGGCATTTTTAAATTTGTAAATTTTGTGTTCATTTCTAATTTTCACATAGCTAGGGAGTTCATCAATAAATACCTATTCCTCCAAGTAGCCATGTAAGAAGGCTTATTTAACATCTAGTTGAAAAATAGGCCAAGAATTTTGTATTGCTAGGGCAATTACCAACCTGATTGTGCCATGTCTTACAATTGGTAAGAATACTTCTATATAATCAACTCCGTACTGCTGTACACCTTTAGCCACAAAGTGTGCCTTGTATTTATCCACATCTCCATTTTCGTTCAGTTTTGTTTTGAAAACTCATTTTACTCCAATGGTTTTGTACCTGTTCAAAAGATCACATAGCTCCCAATTATCATTCCTTTCAATGGAATTGATTTCGTCATCCATTGCTTTTCTCCATTTATCTTCTTTGATAGTGTTACTTTCTCAATAGTTGCACTAAAAGTGAATTTGACTAGCAAGTATATTAGTATTGTTGTAGCAAGTTATAAAATCTTGGAATCATGTTTAAGTCGCAAATATTGTCATTAGGGAATAGTTTTCTCAAGTATCACTTCACAATTCAACAATTAGTTGAGCCTAAAGCAATTCAATTGGAGTTTATAATTTTTGAAAGCAAAATTAACAAGTACAGAGTTCAGAAAAACGTAACAGAGCAAAGGCTACAAATTTGTGTATTAAAATTGATGAATGAAACATAGTTAGAGGTTTATTTCACCAAAACTTCAGTGTTAATTCAATCAAATTTTGAACTTTTAAGCATTTGGATTGAATGACAATCAATTTCACAATTTATTAATCAAAGGTTAATTCCTTAACTCAATGACTCTAACATTCAATTCAATCATCCTAATTCCTTAGATCTAATTCAATTAAATGTTGCATTAAGCATTAGAAACCAAAAGATTGCAAGATTAAGATGACTTATCCCTAAGAAATCAATAATCTTGATAGTTAATTCAGATCTGAGAAACAATTTCAACTTTCATTGATAAAAGCTTATCTGTGTTTAGTAAATCAAATTTTCATTCAACAACTACTTGAATAACAAAATCAACTACTCAATCCAATCAAATAATCAAAGTTCAGATTCAAAATCAATTCAACACTTCCATTTCAGATTCATAAATCTCTAACTACAAAGAGTTTAGACAACCATTACAAAATGAAAAGAGAAAGAAAGAGAAGAAGGAGAAGCGCAAAGAATCATCTTCAATCCAATTTTCAATCCAATTCCTCAAGATGTGAAGCTTGGAGTTCATTCCCAATTTCTCTCTCAGACTCTCTCAAGACAAGAAAATGAAATGAAAATGAAAAATGAACAAAAGATACAAAAAGTCTGAGCTAACTCATATTTATAGAATTTCCCGCCTTTCTGGCATGATCACTATTTTTCACTAAAGTGACCACGCAGAGGCCTTTCTGGTAACCTTCATGACTGGAACACTCACTATTTTTTTTTTTTATAAAAGTAGCAACGCAGAGGTTAATTACTCCTAGTGGCATGCGCGTATTCACTTTTGTACAAAACAGAAGTCACGCGCATCTTGTTCTATTGGACAACTCTCTAGAATAATCACTATTTTCTAAAATAGTGGTAATGCGTAGGTAGTTTTGCCTTCAAATCATGCGCGTGATCATTTTATTCAGAAATAGTGATCACGCGCAACCTATTGCTCCAAATCAAACTTATGCGTGTTTACTTTTGTACAAAATAGTAATCACGCACAAGTTGTTCTTCTCACCCAGCTTTGGAACGATCATTGTTATTAGAAATAGTGATAACATAGGATCACTCCTCATGGGCGTGGTTACTTTTGTAAGAAAAAGTGATAACGTACAAGTCAATCCTTGAAATTAGGCTCTGAAATGATCACTTTTCTTGAAAATAGTGATCACGCCCAATACTAGCTTCATCAATTCTTGTTCCTTGTCTCTAAAATTACTAATTTTCTTCTACCTTTCTCTTGATCTTCCAGCCTTATGAACTGGTGTGTAAAACTGGATTACTGGGCAAGTGTACTCGTTGTTAGAGTAATATTATGAAAAATAGAGTACCAAGTGTGGTATCTACATGGACTGTTATTAAGAGATACTTTCTTAATTGTGCAATTGTTAATGAATATGAAAAATAAATTTTGTTGATAAAATTGCTAAAAATAAAAGAATAATAAATTGAAAGGAACATATTTCTTATAATAATAAATTATAGAAAAGTATGACTAAAGGTATTCAAGGGAAATAGGCAAGTATTTAGACTGTAAATCCTCCTAAGTGTCCAAATAACTGAAATTCTTTTTCAACTACTTAGTTCTAAACCCTTATCGCTGCAGGAAATTCTAAATTAAATCAATACCTTTCTCAAGGATAATGATTCCTAACCCTCAGTTGATCAATCAGAATCTCTTCCTTAATTAATACCCCTAGGTTGCATTAAGTTCATTATGAATTCTATAATTAGGGTTAATCCTAATACAGAAAACTCACGTCTTTCTATCTCTAGAAATACATTCAAGTCTTTTTAATTGAGCAATGTTAAATTCATGCAGGAATTTTACTCAAATTCAAACAAGATAGAAGAAAATTGATACTACTCAATTAAACCCAAGAGAAAAGAACATGAAATAGCATTAGAAGAATTACAGAAAATTTAGTCAATTAGGATTCATTACGTCTAGATACTCAAAGGAAAATTAGAACCTAAACATCTTCAAACTAAAATTACAAAAAAGATGAAATAAAATGCTTTATCCCATCCTCCAGCCATCTCTGAGTCTTTCTTCCTTTCAAAACTGTCTCCTTTAGGTTTTTGTGCCAAGTTCCCTTTTATATGAGTGGCCAAGGACTCATCTTCTCGCAAAAATTTAAATTATGACGCACGTTAAAAGTACACGCCCGAGTACACGGCCATGTACTTTGGCTG